ATTGGAGCGAGAATTGTCGAAACATGGAATTCAACCCCTCTTTTGTTAACCGTTTCACTTCTAAATACTCTAGACTTTCTTTTTCATTTCTTCATTTCTTTTCCATTCACACCATTATAATCTGATAACACATGGCGTGTAATTAGTAATATGCATTGATGATTTTCATTTGAAACAAATTATGAACGCATATGTGCGCCCATATAGTAGTCAAAGGGTTAATCCTTTACTGAAGCGCTCGTAGCGAAAGGGTTATTTATGGAAATTGCTTTAGAGATGATTATGGAAATTTTTGCATAACCCAATAAAAGCGAAGATTTGTCAAATGGACGAAGATACCGAGATCCGGTGCAGAGTTCACCCTTCCCTGAATGCGTTTCGATGTTAGGCGACTGGTTAAGAACGCTAGGGGTAATATTTCAGATTCGCGAGGAGAAAGGTGTGAGTTATCGCAACTCCTCCTGCTGCGGCGTGTACAGTTTGATGGTTGAGCGGTGGGCTACATTATGGGGAGCCTTGTAAAAGCTGTTGGTCAATTCTGGCGACAAAGTGGCGCGTTTTAGTTCGTGCCGTTTTGCTGTTATTCCTTCGCCGAAGAGAACGGCGCCTCGGTGTTCTGCTCTTGTACTTAAGCAGAAATTTGCATACGTTGATGAACGATGCGGTTTTGCTTATGAGGTACTTTGTAATTTCTTCTTCGTGTTGTCTCGAGACAACCAGCTCAATTGTAATCAAACTAAGAATAGCATTCCAAAATAACGTTTCGATGATTTTCGTCATCGTCATCGATCGTAATTAGAATCGGATGAGGTAGCCGGTTCATGCGAATGTCCTTAAAAGCTTGAAAGCCCTGCCGCTGGCAAAAACCGATCGTTTAACGGACATTGCAATTTGTCCCGTCGACAAAACACACGAGCGGAATGCGTATTGTCTACCCATCGGATTATCCTCCTACTTTGGCTCTTTCTTCTTAAAAAAAACTCACCCAGAGGACAAAGGAATCATTATACAGGGTGTTCCACTTAACTCTGCCATCATTAATTATTTAGTTATTTTTAAATACAGAGAAAATCCCTCAAAGGAAATTAATCTAATTAAAATTTAAGGAACCTGAAATCATTCATTTTGGTTGGTTAAAAATCACAGGTACTATTCTATAAAAGATAAAATTGAAACTTTTTGGAAATGAACACCATCGACATAATTTTACATCAAATAACAAGATTCTCAGTAAGAAACAATGCAGAAAAGTGCAAGAATTGTTCAGCGACGTTCACCATAAAAAAGAAAAGAAGAACGTGGAATTCACACAACCTGAAGTCGAAAGACAGAATGATCAACCGTTTCTCACAGTATCTCTCACACGAGCACGAGAATTTCTCAAACATTGTCCCGTCGATTCCCTCTGACAATGGTATTTCCATTCTGCCAGCCGACAAACGTTCGATCTCCCTTGGTCCCATCGATCCTAACCGTTCCATGGTCTCCAGAACCCTTCCTCTGGTTCCCAAAATGGGCGATCCTGCTCGAAAAAGGACCATGGACGATCGTGGACGGGAAAGGTCGTGGTTGAAATGGAAAAGGAAGGCGAATTTTGTATATACAAGAATCTGCTCTCAAGTTGGGTCGTTGAGGTCAAAGTTTTAATTTTATTGAGATTTTTTAAGGACTTGGATTGATTAAAGCATGTTTCAACTTTTAATTTCTTTGCCATTCTTTGTAAATATTCCTCGAAAAATAAAGAAAATCTACTAATGCATATTAATGAAGATAGAATTTCCTTTTAAGGAGAAGATTTATTTCCCAAATTTTAGGAACTTTTAGAGAACACCGCAGGAAGAACGAAACGCCAGAGGCAAAGAGACAATGAAAGCGGAGCAAAAAGTCGAAGCCACAGGAAAGAAAGTCCGAAGAAGGCAAAAACCATGCACGTACATGGTCCATGGGACCGAGGGAACAATCAGCAACAATAAAATACGGCTGAGTCTTCGCGATAAAGCCACGTCGCGAATCCTCGTAGAGAATCCTCCGGCAAAAACGCATCGATTAAAAGCTAAAAACGTGAACTGACCAGTCTAGAGAACGCTTATATGTAGATACATCATTCACTTTGCACTTCAATAAAATAATTTAAAATTTTATCTGAATAATTAACAAAGTCAAATTATCAGATTTTGAAAATTTATTTATTATTTCTTTCTTCTTAGTTTAGATTTTGACATAAAGGAAAGGACGATGCTCTTATTTGGAGAAAGGAGAAAAGGGAGAAAGGTCGGGAACATCTGGCACCAATCAAGTAGCTGTATCTTCGAAATGTCGGCAAATCGTGAAAGAGAGTAGAACTACGATGCGGGAAGAAGAAGATGAAGAAGCATCGCTGAATTGGACAGTAACAAAAAACGATGCAGCGACAGTCCAACAGTGGATGGAAATATGAGACCAATTTATTTTGCAGAAGAAAGAAATACGGGGATACCAGAATTGATTCGACTAACTTAGCTGTTTTTCTGACAGACTGTAATTTTGTGGAATTGAAACTAAACAAGTGGGCGATAAATCACGTGGCAGCTGAACAAATCGTTCTCAAAGTGATACCCGATCAAGATTTGATACAATCGATAATCGATCTGATTATTATTATAATCTACTGCTTTTACAATAATCTTATGTCATCGCATCTTGTCTAATGATTAATAATTTAAACTAAAAGATAGGTGTACTCAAAGCCACTTGAAATAATTTATTTTTCGCACGATCAACGATAATATCGTCGTTTATGTCTAACGAACATAAGCGTGTATTCACGCTAACGTTAATACGAGTTCTTGCATGCGAACTGATGCATCAGAGCGAATTACTTGCATCAAGAAAACGATGTCCTGCAGCGATATTGCAGTGATCGAGCCCTGCGATTGACAGACGCTTGAAGAAACTCGTACTACTAGATAGTCTGAACGATGCATATTAAACGGGTAATTTGTCCGGAATATTCTACAAAAAGTACCAAGTGCAATATGTTTAATTGCATCAAGAAAAAATTAGCAGCCTGTAGATATTTTCTTTGCCAGTAGTATTATTCTGTTAAGCATAAAGCAATATTTCATGGGAAATAATTAAACAACTATCCATATTTAATTTGATTAATGAAGAAATTGGAAGGGAATACCGAAGGAGATATTGATTGAAAATTAGACCGCACAATTTCATTTAATTAATGATCCCGTCTGTGGTATCCTCGAGGGTTGATCCTTGTCTTTCGGCACACATCAAACTTCCAAGTAGACGTCACCCGTACGTGACGGGAATAACTTCTTTCCACCATATCGTTTTAGCACCATAGACGATGTGTCGAAGCATTCGGCAGGATTACACATGATGCTCACGTAACAACCTCCGGTCGTAAAAGGAGATAGAGCGAAGCTTCTACTTGGTCACACTTTTAATTAACAAAAACTTGAATTTCTATATAAATACCGTTCCCGAAATTCCGAGCATGGTAACTTTATATCGTCTCGAAGAAAATTTTTCAGATTTGTTCTAGATTTCTAAAATGAGAAAATTTCTAAGAAACACGAAAACTTTCCCTACATTGTAGCTACAAGAACCTATGCATTTAACCGCTTATCTTCAATCCCCATATCACGGTTGTCCGCTGCGGGAAAGCGAGGAAGATTGAGCATGGAAAAAACATGGAACTTGTACCGGCATTCTGGAGCAAGTAGATAATTCCCGCATAATGCCGCGTCCATGGGGGATGAGAAAGCCATGGGGACATTTTGCAATGCGAAAATTACACCAGCCTGAGAATGAAAATCATTACTAAAACTTCTAAATTCAAGGAACCAATTCTCTGTTAACTGCATTTAATCATCTTATGCACCTCGTCGGTGTGATGCAACGATTGCATTGTGAAGTGAAAGTGTGTCGGGTCATGAGAGATTCTGCATTCTCAAAGATTTATTCGAATGCTGCCCAACGAAACGAAATAATTACTCTTTTAGAGGCAATTATAATCAAAGTCGGCGAGTCAGACGAGGCTGGACGAAAAATTGTAGAAACTTCGGCGTCTTTCTCCTTGTCCCTTTCTCGTTTGTTCAATTTTCCCAGCCGACGCACCGCAACCGTGCGTGATGTGCATCCGCACGTGCGCGCAGGATAGATCCGGCCAAGTGCAACGCACAGAAAGATAAGGGCGGCAGTACATCATAGAGGCCGCATCCCGAAGGGGAAGGGACCGGCCCTTAGGAAAGAGCAGAGATCTTCGCACTAGATTGATATCCGGACCACACTCGGGATGCGTGATTGCGGCTCGCATTTGTGGAGACGGACAGGGTGCTCGAATGAGATTCGTTTGGAATTGAAAGGAGAGTGCGAGAATCTATTACATTGGACGTTGAAACATTGTGTGCCTGGAATTCCATATCACTGGGAATTTCAAAGCCGAGGATTGTTGGAATTCGTAGAAAATTGCCGAGAGAAAAGTTGCACAATGTTAAAAATTTATGAAAGATTTCATAGTTGAGAAATAATGTGGATTGAAAGAATTTCTTATTAATATTGAATTGAAAAATATTGGAAGCTGCTTCTGGGAAAATTTACAAGTCTCTGGTAGATGAAAGGGTAACTATTCATGGTTTAATATAATGGCAAGACGTTTGGTCGTCGCAATGGAAACATTGGACGACTCGACGATTGGTTTGTTTTCGATTCCTGAAATAGAAGGTGCGGTCTTCTGGGAACATACGCCTGTAATTTCTCACGTGACCCCTTCATCTATTCGTAACTACTGCCTTCGTAAAATCCCTCGAAACACGAGAACAGAGCTTTAAAAGAATCGCCTATAATAACGTCTCTGTGTATAGCTACCGCTTTTTAATGGACCATTACAAACTTCTTTTCTATTCTGCCTTCATAAATGCATAATGCATACAAACAAATTTGTTGCAATATTTTCATTTAAAAATAGGAAGTATTTATAGAAATATTTCTGATTTACTCACCAGTATAGGTCCACCATCCCTCAAGGAGGATGAAACTGTGGCGCCAAACCATTGAAGGGTTTTATTATCAATCTGGCTCAAACCACTCGGTACACTCGGATTTCTGACATGATTGTTCCCTGTAAACGGAAACGAATCTTCATCAGTCACAGTCACATTAGCGATTACTCTATCCTGCAATGATTAATGCTTAGATAAAAGTACAATACATCGTGTTTATTTCTAATTTTCACTGTGTTCCCTTTGTTTTCATTAATTATTTAACATTCCCTAAGTTATGGTTTTCAAATATTTATACAGAAAGAAGCAAATGTGTTCAACTAATTTGAAAGGTAATTATAATACCGTGGTCACGAGTGTAATAACAAATCAGCTGTCTAGCACGAAACGGGAAACACATTCAGGAAGAAAAAGACTATGACCAGTTGCTATCTAAATATTCCAACGTACGGTTACGCTCGATTACTGGAGGAATGCACAGATTTCCATGGACGAAGCTATTTCAGGGAATAACGTATGCCGTCATTCTTTAGAATCGGTCACTTAATATTGGAATTAAATTCCAGTAAATTGAAGAGGTATTTCTTAAGAATCACCAGCTCTTTCCAGCAATACCCGTCTGACTACGAACAACCTAATATTACAGGTTGTTATATCATGTACTTAATTTTATTTTACGTTACATTATGGATATTATAAAATATTTTGGTTGGTCCATCGCAAAGAAAAATAATTTTCTTTGAAACTTCAATAATTCTTTAAGATGTCAGCTTGATAAAAAGCAAGGTTCGAGCAGGTGTCATTGTAAAGAATTCTCAGCGAGTACGTCTTGCATTTTTCTTTCTCGATTTTACGAATGGAATGAACCCGTTAGCCGTATCGGTCGTGGTTAACCCTTAAACGGAAGTTGTCCTTCGCTTCCTACCCCTTAACTCGTGAACGTTGCTACTGCCACACGACTATGTCGATACCAGTAAATCGAGAAGTCCTTCGACGACCATATTTCAATCGATCGATGATCCATCGTTAAAAATCAATTGCACAATAGACGATTGTAATAAAAATTAGGCTAATATCGAGAGAAAATTTAATTTGACAACATCCAGGCAATTCATTTATATTAAACCAGATATAGAAAGTCTTTGTTCTAAAATTATACAACCATTTTCTCTATGACAGTCAGCACATTGAACGCCTCGCTAATTTGACCTCGACCCGACTAATTAAAATCGATGATCAACCGAACGGAAAAGGCCAATCCCACAATGGGAGCAATTATGAATTATCGGTGAAACGCTGCTTAATTTATACAGCTCTAATTAAAGGGACATCAATTAAGCAGTCGTTCGGGTTCCAGCATACTGCTCGATACGTCTGACCTTCCCTGAAGATCCTCAGGTGGCATCCTGCAAGAAATGCCGAACCTTCGTCGAGGCAGGGCCGTAGGTAGAACGACCTTACGGTTTTCTGTATTAGGTAGAGTCGGCTTCTTGCGTTGTACGGTTCCCGGTATCCCGGGACTGCCCGCCACGCCACTCTGACACTCCGCAGGGTGTAACCGAGGAGTATCCTCCTCAACGAGGAGCTCGGTCGAGTACCTGACGAAGTGAGTGACCTCCAGAAGCGGCGATTCGCTTCCTCGTACGCACGCGGAATCGAAGATACCAGGGAACAGAGATCTATCGATCAAGGGGCACGAGATCTAGAGCTACGTGACCTTGATGATGTGCTGGATAAGTCGATTTGTGGGAAAGTTTCCTTTGATATCTTGCAACGATGATTTTTTATTAAAGGTGATAATTAGCATTCTCGTAACTGGTGTTACGTATTCGATGCTATTAATAACACGAAGAGGAATTTTAATTATTTCACTCGGTTATTCGCGTTATCTTATCAACCTAATTTTACATTTAGATTCAACAACTCTGAACTAACAAGTATATTTTTTTTTTTCACGAGCTCGATTTAAAATAGTGATGAGTTAACTTACAGCCGGATTTAGATGGCGTTCGGATCGTCTATTTCAAAAATAGCCAGAGTTAGTATCGGGCAAAGAAGAAAACAATGTTATTATTACACAGGCGAAAGATTTAAAGCTACCGCTAAGGCTGAATTTATTTTTCGAGTTCCAATTTTCTGCGAACTCTAGCTAAAAACATTTCAATCATAGGAGGATAAATAATCTCTCGAATATGTTCAAAGAATTTCAAGTTGAAGGGTTAAGAAAAAACATTTTTTTTCTTTAATTTAACAGCACTTAATTTACTGTAAATTACCGTTAAATTGGACAAACGAAGGAAATAAAATAATTGATGCAATTTTCCACTCAAAAGGAACGAGAAATTCAATGGAAAATCGTACACTGTCAACGTGTGCTCGAACAGTAGTGGTAATAGATGGCCAGGACTATCGAGCACGACTCTAATTGGACAAGATCGAGGCAAGATCGAGCATACTATCACGCTAATTATCGATCAAAGCGAAGTGTCCGGGCGAGCAGCATTGACTAAGGAAGAGGACCGACTAATTGGATGTAACATGGGACCATGATCTTGTGTATGTAGTCTGTGAAAACGTCTCTTTATCAAGCGAGAATACTTATGCAGGCGCAGCGTTCACGAGAAGGGGAGAAATGTGCTCGTTCAGCAAAGAAACAGCGAACCTTTTACTTTCAACGTTCGAAAGAAACACGTATCAATTTTTTATTTAATTAAAGGGTTACTTATTTCTACAATCTGCAAAAGGGATCTTTAAGAATCCTATCTTCTCGATTCAGTCCGCCCGAGATCGCGCGGAATCGGTCCCGGTGATTTCCTACCGATTGCTTTCGCGCAGTCAATTACTTTCCCATCGGCAAATTATGGGTCCGGAATCGTGCTCGATACTCGCGATACGATCGTTACGAGGTGTGTAAGCGCGTCTAATTCGCGCCTGCATGATTCCACTAATTTGCATCGGGGCATTAGCGTCGGTTCTCGCGATACTCGCTTCTCCGCTGAAACGGTAGATCGTATCGTTATGGCGTGATTATTAATTCGAATGGCTGTCTGCTTAGGAATTTATGCTCCCTCGTGGCTTCGATATGGTCGACTGTACTCTACTGCTCGCCTTCATGGAATTGAGTCGTTACGATTTTTCCTAAGCTACGATAATAACTTTATTTTTAAGGACGTGGCTCTTTAAATTTCTAAGAATTTACATAATTTATTTTTAAGAAAAATGGCTCATTTTTGACGTGTGATTTTTTAACCGCCTCCAAGCCCCAAGTTACGGTAGGAAAGGTGATCAAAGAAACGTTGAAGATCAATATTCTCGAGGGTTATAGAACTTTTGATAGCGGAAGGGTGAACGAGAGGGTGGGTGGAAAAGACGCCAAGAATAGAACGTTCTACAGCAACTAAGTCGGCTGGTTTGCGGTTCCTGAGATTACGAAGCTCCTCGAGGGCTACGACAGCGGGTGGAAAGGCAGAATCTGGGTCAACAACTGCGAAACAGTGGAATACGAGATACAAGCCCTCGTTAGTAACACTATGTACACCGAGCTGCTGCCTTTCAAAGCCCACGGCGAGAACCCGAGTGAAAAAAAGAAAGAACCGGAAAACAGATATCGGATTGACTCTAAAGAAACTCCAAGAGTTAATCCTTCAAGAGTTTCCGGTGCACGATGGTACCTTTGTCTTCTTATAATGAAAAGTAGGCAATGTAATTTTCTAATAACTGATCGATCTTCACCTTTGCTGTCGAAATGTATCATCGTGCAACGATCGTCTGCCGCGATGTCGCACTTGTAAACTGCACCCCCTCTGTACACTCCGACCTGGGGTGTTTCAGCTTCCGGTGCGCCCACGATCGCCCTGTAACAAAAATTAGAAATCCAATTAGAGGTGATTCGATAATTCATTAATCTGATCATTGGTGTTAACAGGTCATCGGTTAATATTCATTATCGCGTCGTTAAGGAAAGACGATGATCAGAACGTATTTCCGAGATTGAGGTCAGTGGTCACGAGCTATTTTGAACAGTGGCGCAAGAGTAAGTAACCGATCCGACCGACCAACTAGTTATTAAACCAGGTAACACACTTGCTACCGCAATTTTTATCGGTTTCATGGAACACTAGTAAACTGAACGGGTTATAGTCAGACACGTTAATTTATTAGAGACCTTGCGAAAAAAGAAAATCAATTTCTAATGCTTTGTAATCAACCTCCTTTTATCAAATCGTTCCAGGTGGACGTAGGCGTGTGCAGACGATCTAAAGATTGTTAGCCATGGTAATAGATCGTATAATTATCTTAAAAGGGTGTGCCTAACCGGGGGTTGTACCTTGAAATCACCCTGACCTATAGCGTGATTAATATTGACTATATGCAGATTAAGTATACGCCTTCGAACGTGATACACTGATTGCTATCTGAATCCTTTAGAAATATTAACATTGCTCAGGCAAAGTCGTTATGAAAATAAACTGGTCGTAGTGTTACATGATTTTTAAGTTATCGGCCTTGCTATTATATTCTTGTCCACCTTGGATAATTTTCTTATTGAAATTACTTTATCTTTCTAACGTTTTATAAAAATATTAAGATTAAAGGAATTTAAGAAATTTTAAGAAAATTAGGAAAAATAAATTTCCCAATTTTTAAATTCAGAAAAAGATGGAATAATAGTCTAAAGAGTTAGGTTTGGGTCGACATCTGTTTGTAATGTTAAATTTTCTGAACCACGCTAGAACACTTGCACTTCACAACCCCCATGTGTTGTAAAATTAGTATTATGGGAAACGGAACCCAGTGACCGCAAACTATACACACGTGTATGTTCAACGATGCCTGTAGGTCCACTTCCTGTCAAATGTATGCCCGTCACGAACGCAACCGAACGGAAGCTGAGGTTCGTGAACCAATAAACGTGATTCATAAATTGCATTGCACACTTCTATCGATAGATTTACATGATATCACATATCGCTATAAATAAATCGTTGAATTATCAAGGCTACTTTAAAATCTATATATTTTATTTAAACGAATCTTGACGTCCAATTGTTTGGCAGATGTGCCGCGTTAATAACAAACGTGGGTTGCTAATGACGCCCACTCTATTTTTTCTTTTTTACTCTTTTTTTTGGAATCCTGAGGAACTATAATCACCGATATGTGACGCATGCACCAGATCGGGAATGCAGGGGCGAACCGGTCCCTGAAATACTAACACCTTTAGAACTCTTTCTTTTTTTCTTACTCTCATTATCCTTTTCTTTCTTTCAATTTTTATAAATTTCTTTCCTGATAAATTTTGTATTTCATATATGATTCAATTCTTGTGTGATATTTCTTGGAGTTATTTTGGTACACGACAATGTTTCTAATCTTTATTATATCTATTCTTTGTCCTATATGTATGTTCCCTTTCTCTACCATTCTTGTACCGTTATTAACTATAAACACGATTCGGTGATAGTTGAGGTGAGGTGATGTTGTGAATAGCAGTGACAGTAGGCGGCAAAGATGGTCCGTCGCAAGAGGCAGGTTGAGCGAGGACAAGCAACCTGACATCGAGGGAAAGTTGAAACCTTGTTGATTTATACAATGCCAGTCCAGTTTGGAGAACAATTTAGATTCCTTTTTTTATTTGATGGCTACATGAGCCAGTGCGTGTACGGCTGACTATAAAAATGACAGGTTTTAGATGAATCGCTATTTCTGACCATTGATAGAAGTTTCAGGTCAAAGCATTTAATCTTGTTTTCTCCGTGTCACTACTCATTTTTTATTTAATAAACTTTCAAATCTATTATTATCTGTATATATAAAGGAAAGATCAGTCTCAAATTTGTAATAACATTTTTGATAACCGTTAATTTGCTTTAATTTGCATATCAACTCGTTAACGAGTACTAGCTTGTGCCACACACTGACCACTCTACTGATATCCTTGTCTTATCAGACTCTTAAAATAATATTGCAGAAACCTCAAGATTGCATACTGTTTCATACATCTTTAAGATGCAATAGGACACCAATAAAAATAGAATTAACTAATTAACTAATTAACTAAAATTCGTAGTTCAAAGCTCATGAAATCATTTTCCATTCGTTTGTAAATCATTCACAATAGCCAGTCAGTTATGTTCGAGTACTTCAGATTTATAGGGTGTTGCATCCATGGAACGTGCTAATGAAGGCATGCAGCTGCACCTCCCAACGTGCAGGTGCAGTGACTTAGCGCGTTCTAAATTAGCTCGCGAAATAATTTATGGATGCATTTTTAGCAAAATTTGTATTCTTTATTCTTCAAAATCTCAAAGATCCTCATCTATGTCCCAAATAAAAATTTTTATCTGCAATCAAAGATCCTACAAAATGAGCAGGAATCTAAGTGTTAACGATTACGAAGTTTCGAACGACTCAATAACACCATACAGCCATAATTCGATCGGAATTTCAATGAGGATTCACAAAAAAGCAACAACACCATGCGTGTATATCCACGATGGAAAACGAGTGGTTGAATAAATCAACAGTGAACGTGTAAGCTATGAAAACACCGCATTAGATTACCTGCGGCAATCAGTGTCTGTGAATGCATCAATGGACCGATAAATAAATTCATCACGAGCCTTCGTCGAGATCCAGAAGAAAAACGTTCAACAAATTACGACCGACTATCCTTTTATGTCGCTCGTATTTATTATGAAATCTGTCACGAATTGTGCGCGAGCTTTCTTATCTGAACTGTTCCTTAAACGCCTCAGGAATCTGCAACATCGAAACGCGTAAAATGTACGCTATTTTATAATTGTTGAAAAATCCTTTCGCTGTTCAATCACCATCTTCAAAAGCAACGATTCCCCAAGGATAAATCACGGTTTTTTTCACGCGTAACGTGCAATCAACATGGACTAACGCATCAATGGGCCGATAAATAAATCCATCGAGGTATCGTTGGACGAAGAAACATCGCCGGATTACGCGACAGCCCGTGGCCTTTTGCGCGAGCCAACAGGCGGAGAGTTTCGCGTATCGCGCGGTGAAAATCGCGCGCAATGAATTAGAGAACGGCCGCGAGCGGCGGATTCAAGCCTCTTCGTATATAGCCGGACGAATATCGGCGTCCCTTTATTCTTGGCACGCGAGGACGTCGTATTGACTTATATCGCGACGCGACGCCGGACAGACGCGCATTCGTAAGCCCGTATTTGGCGAAATCGAACGGCTCCATTCGCGATCTTCCACGAAACACGCCTCGCTGAAAATCAGCAAATTTACACGCGTAATCGACTGACTGAATTAAAATGACTATGACCGTCATTCTTTCCAACGTCGAAAGTAAGCTCAAATTTGCTAACTTCCGCCACACAACCGCTGCAATCGTAGTAACTCGTGTACGTGCATCGAGAATGACGATTGTAATGCAGCCTCGGTATTTCAAGCCGGAAATCACGTAACACTTTAAGTCCCTACAAAGGGAAGTGGCTTCTATACGTCCATGGAAAGTGTTACGTATAACCCGACGAGTCACGTAAGTCAGTAAAATCCGATGATGCGTTTTTCTGATCAATCTCGCTCGCAATCGTATAATTTAAACGGAGAACGATTAATCTCTTCGACGTCTAAAAAATTCACAATGGTGAACGAAAAAATAATAAATCTTTACAGACGGTTCCAGTGAAATTTATTTCCACGAAATCAATCGAAAGGTAAAATCTAAAAACATGCTAATGGAAGAGAATATGAAAGGGACAGGAACGATGGAATACAAAATCCTTTCGAACGGATTTCTAATTCCTGATGCATCAATATTTATCAATGGAAAGATCAAACGCAGTTGGGTGCCATCCGTCCGACAGATTTTTGGAGTGAAATTCTCGATTAAGGTACGGAGTTCAGCGAACTCCGGCTTCTTCACGAGGAACGCGCGTATGGTAATGAGCTTGTGCGTGCTAGGAAACTTAAAACCAGGTAGAGCACATCTTCCGCACGATATGCACGTGCAACACGGATGCATTATCACCGGGCATAATGCAATTCCTCTAAAATGGCTGGTCGAAAAATTGCGAAATTTCTTCGAGATTCTATTACATTAGAGTAAAATAATCGTAAAAATTTGATATTTTATGCTGTATCCTTCAATTGTTAATAAATTGAAATACGTTTTTACCATTACTTTAGTCAGAAAACGTATCGCGATCATTTCTTATTAATCTATTCCCGATTCGAAATGTCACATGAATATAAAAATATAAACCATTTTATCTGATATTTACTGAAACGAACGTGTCTCGAGGTAGATCTCGTTTCGATTTATCCTCGAAAGAGGAAAAAATTGTACTTTCTAAATCGGCACGTTGAGACGTGATACGAAAAACGCAAAACGATTCTGTATCGTTGCACATTTTATTGATCTAACAGCTGATGCCTCTTTAGCCCTTCACAAAGCAGAAACCGAATTTTAATGAAATAAATGAAAGAAAATGAAAGAAATATTCACGGTTCCAGTGCTAACGGATTATTCCAATGTTTCGTTGTGCAACAAGAATTTAAGGGACACGCAATGTCTGGACGCACGATCAGTCGATGACGCAAGGCGAACGGAGGCGTATCGAGGCTCTGCTACTTTATAAGGAGCACCTCCTCACGCACACCATTTGCTTTCCACTGTACAGCGAAATCGAAGTGTACGCAAGTGCGTGACAGGTAAACTTAGGTACGATTGTCCTGTTAACGTGTCGATCCGTGGAATCTCAATGACGCGAAGGGTGGTATCCCTTCACTGTTAACCTAAGTACTTTCAGCTGAAGTTACCTAAGCTCTCGTTTAAGAGGTTTAAATAAGCTATAAATTAATTGAA